GGCCTGCCGCGGCAGCGCGGCCCGGCCCGGAGGGACCCCTGCCCGGAGGGGACCCCCTGCCCGGAGGGGGACCCCTGCCCGGAGGGAGCCGGCGGGACGGGCTCGGGGACGCAGCATGGGCAGCCTGCCGCTTCAGGACCTCGCGGCTGGGTGGGCGGTAAGTGGTGCCGTGGGCTCGGGGCGGGGGAAGGCAGCGAGGAGGGGGACAGGGGCGTGCGTGGGAATAAAATCCGCCGTGTCACCTGTGGTGTGTGCCGCCGACCGGAGTGCTCGTACCAGCGGGTGCGCGGTTTGATTTGCTTCGCTGTGCCTCAGAAGTGCGCTTTAATCCAATTTCCACGGGCGGGATGCTTAAAACGTAAGTGTCAGTACGGGCGATGCTGCCGTGCGCCCAGGGAGGTGGGGGGCGGCGCGGCGGGGCTCGAGGTGACGCAGCCGGGCCTACCGGCAGCCAACCCGGGGCTGCCCAGCCGCACACACCCCCGGGAGAGGAACCGCTTGGCTTTGACCCCGCGGTCCCGACAGGGCAAACAGAGTGGTGGCCAGGGCGGCGGTGCTGGCCGCGGGGGGTATTGATCCGGTCTGCTGAAAATGCTGATGGCAAACACCGGGGAAACAGATAGCCGAAAGAAAAGGAAACGCGAGGATCTGCAGAGGCGCTGGTAACGTAGTATCTCTTGCAGAACGGAAACTTCCCACTGGGTTTAGCAGCCTTTAAGGTGCACAGCTAAGCTGCCGTGCCCGGGGTGGGCTGCAGGAGCAGCCGAGCAGAGGGGCAATCGCGGCACCGGCCGCCGCAGACCAGAGCTCTGGCCAGGCTCCTGCTCACGCCAGGAAGGGGCGTGAGATGGCTCACGGATCCTGACCGGCCAGATGAGGTTAATAGGTTAGCTGACTCTAAAAAAACCCAGAACATCTGCCAAAAAGTTACGCGAGCAGCTGATTTTTGGATCTTTGCAACCTGCGGAGGCTGTGCAGCACACAGTCGCTGCCTCTGCCCCACTGACCCTGTGCTACTGCCCCACATCCCCGGGAGCGAGACAGGGCGTCTGGGGGTGAACAGCCACCAGCGCTCAGTGTTGGTGGCAGCGGCCAGTCTTCATGCATAGCACTGGGCCACAGATGGTCTCAGGTAAGGTCCAGGAGGAGAGGGGATGTTTTATAATACATTTTTGAGTAAAGTCATAATGTGTTGACCAAGGACATGATTCTCTTTTCAGTCCTAATCCACTACAAGTGAGCAATTTAATGTAGTCTCTAAAACACTTGGGGACACTGGTTTGCATGGAGAATTGCAGATGAGGAAGCACCACAAATTACCCACCATCTCCACAAACACCCTAAAAAATGCCGGTCTTGTTTGGAACAAGTGCACAAACCCATATCCTGGCCACAGCACATGGGTTGCTCTGTCCCCCGGGAGAAGGGGGAAACCAAGCCGCGCTCTGCCCTGCCGTGGGGGCTCCTGGCAGTGAGTGGCGTGGGTAGATGGGCAGGATGGTAAGGGGGAATGGACCAGTTTCTCCCAAAGAACCCTGGGGAATGAGGCTGGATGGGACTGTAGAGATCAAGACAAAGAGGATCCTCTTTATCTGAATCATCCCTGACAGGTATCTCTATAAACTGCTCTTAAAATGGCAAAGGCTGGGGGTTTTGCGGTCCGCATCAGCAGTCAGCTCTAGAGCATCTCTATCTGAACCGAGAGAAAGCATTTCCTCGTGTCTAACCTGAATCTCACCATTTTGAGTCTAAAAGTTTGCATGAGCTTGCAAGAGCAAGGGTGGATGTTCATGGACAGGTCATACAAATACAACACCTCTTCCTCTCATCGGGATGCCTTTGAGATGTAAAGTCAACTTTAGAGTACTTTGGAGTCAGGACAACTTTGGAGTCCAGGATAATATGCGGGGAAGATGTGCAAGTGTTTCTGCCCAGCTTTTGCCTCTTGTCAGAGACAGGGCACTGTGCTGGGCATTGCTCTGGTTTGGCCCAGTACAGCTGTTCCAACAGAAATCTCTCCTCCTCCCCTATAAGCCCATTGCTTCCTACCATCACAAAAGCTTCTTCAATGTTTTGCGTAACACTTTGCTTTCATCTCCAGGAGCCGCCAGCGTGCTTGTGGGCCACCCCCTGGACACAATCAAGGTAAACCACTTTGAACCATCCTCTCATGTCACCACCCAAAACCTCAGCAATGGGGAGGTGGGCTCTCTCTAGATGATGCTTCAAAAGACCTTCACTTCCCCCGTCACCCCAAGGAAGAATTTAGCCTGGGTAGAAAGGTTTTTCTAGAGTTTAACCTTTCTTCCTCTCCAGTGCTCATTTCGAACGAGAAACTAAAAGAACTGGCAGATACGTGCAAGTTCCTCTGGTGAGGATTAATGCTGAAAATTAAACCTGGCCTCGCTTAATGTGTGGTTTACCAAATGTTTTATTGAACTTTGCCACAGACAAGTATTCAAAGGGCAATGGGGGAGCTCTATTTGTTTTGCTGCAGGCACATTTTTACATGTTTTCCTAGTGTCGGCATTGCTGGAAGGGCGGAGTGCTGAAATTGTTATCCCAGGGCTATGAGATGCAATATTTACTATTCCTGCAAGACAATTATTCCTCAGAGGGAAGGATTTAGAGATGTAAGAAGATATCTGCTAGCATGATGCAGACAAGCCCATGCACACACCAATACAGCCTGGCCCAACCAAGCTGACCATCCCTACTGATGCAGAGATAAAGAGGAAGATTCTGTTCCTTTCTTCTTTTGCACAGTGTGACAGGCATCTCTGGCCAGCTTTCACTGCTTCAACTGGTCTGCCCATGTGCTCTGATCTCGTTCAAGCCTCATTGCTGGCACCAGGCGGGGCTGTCAGATGTGGCAGACCCAAGAGTCAGTGGTCCTGTTTGCACCTTAGAGACTGTGGAGGGAGATCGGGAGGAGGCAGGCTCCAGCACGGCCCACGCCACATCCTTTCCCCCACCATCACAGCCATCCGCTCGCACACAGCTGGCCCTCCTAGGGTTGGGAGTCGGCCTGCCAGCCCTATCCATTCGGAGCTGCTAAGGTGATATCAGTGCTGGGAGCACTGCTGTGTGAGGATGGGTGCAGACCCCACGCAGGAGGAGCCACAAGGCTGCCCGCACCATCCCAGCGACCGGCAGGGCCAGGGCACAGGCAGCACAGGCAGGCTCTGCCCAGGGTTGCCAAGGCAATCCCCATCTCAGGCTGGCCACCGGGGCGTCATTGCCAGCTTTGGGGGAGTTTGGCAACAACTGAGAGAGGATCCTGCTGGGAATCATTGAATTGCTGGATGCCAAGAAAGAGCGAACCCATCCTTCAGTGCCTATAAAGACAACTGTCAGGCTGACCCCTCTGTTGCCCTTGGCTTTGGACATGGCCTGGGAATACCAAGTAGGCAGACTTGTGATCTTTCCAGATTTAGGGGAAGGGAACTGGAAAGGAGAGTTTTTACACAGCACTAAAGCCAGCAAAGGAGCGGCTCAGCAGCATTCGCAGCCTCCAGGGGAATGGGGGGTCCTTCCCCACCTGGAGGAGAGGACAAGACTGAACGAAAGGTTGGATGGGGTATGTGGTATCTGCACCATGGTTCCCATCAAGCAGGCCTCCTCCTTCAGCTGGCCCCTTCCCAGCGTTGCAGCTTCCATCAAACCTAAGCAGCTGTTTTTCCATGGCCTTGCAAAACTCTGAATAGTTTTACATTTACTCACTTTTCATCCTCCACTTTGCATTCATTTCCCCAGAACTTCCTTCAGTTTTTGGGTGTCACCCAAGGGCCCCATCTAATTAAAATGTAACAGAGAGGAGAAGTTTCCTGAGGAATATCCATACTGGTATCAGCTGACTTTGACAGAGATGCCTGCAGGGATTTTAGCGCTGGGTGTTAACAGCTTAGGTAAGGGGCATATATGTGAGGAGCAGTTTGTGAGTGCACTCAGTTGCCCTCAGTTACTCAAAAAATGTATTAACTTGAACCTCTAAATACCCGGTTACTGTGTAAAAGAAAAAAAAAACAAGCCCATGGAGACAAAATGGAAACACCTGGGCTAAGCGCGCAGATGAAGCCAGGAGGGAATGCAGGGCTGGGCATGGCAGTTGCTCCGTCCTGGACTGCTTGGGGTGCAGCCAGCCTCCCCGCCGATCCCCCCCAGCCCCATTACACTGGCGTGAGTCACAGTGTGCACAGGTCTGCACCCATGGCCCAGGCTTGCCTGCATCGCACAGCGTGTGCTGCATGAGCCGTAGCCGGCATCTTCATGTACCAGCTTGTTTGTAAGGGCTCAGTAAATATTCTGCTTTTGCTGCCGCCTTCTCCATGGCCTCTGGCCAGGGGCAGAGTGGTGCTTGGTGCTGCTCGGTGCTTGGTGTGGGCAGACGGCTGCATGGAGCAGCCCTGGGGCGAGGGGTGAGCCTGGGCTTTGGTCCTTCTCGCTCCCTGGACGGGTCCCACAGCAGCACCCTACCAGCCAGCCTCTTGCAGGGCCCTGGGCAGGGCTCTGGGCCAAATCATTGTCATGCAACCTGCTGATTGCTATCCAAAAGCTCTCCCCAGGCACGAACTCTGGAGAATACTCACTCCCTTGGGCTTTAAATTTCCAAATAAAGTTCCTGCTTCACCCTGGTGTAAGTCGGGGCTGAGGCACTAGAGGGGACTGGGCACTTGTCTCCAGCACAGGTTGGCACTGTCCCTCCAGGCTTCATTTTGCCATTCCTGCTAGCAGCAATGATGATGGATACGACCAGAAATGATGTCCCCATTCCCTAAAAACATCCCCAATAGAGCACGTGTGACTGTATTCCTATACAAAATGAGCTCTGGCCTCAGCCAAGATTAATTACTGAAGCCCCGGGTCCTATGAACCAAACAGGGTTTCCATTTCCTCACACACCTCTAAGTCCAAAAAATGCATCACTTGTGAGGATTTTTTTATTGCAAACTTGTGAGCAGCTTGAATGAAAGATGATCTAAATATGTGTGTGCATGTACATACATATATATATATATGTGAGAAGGGGAAAGCATGTTGAAGCATACAGGCTTTGTCGTGATTTATATGCCATTTCTTACAGCTGTTGTGGGCATCTTTTGGAAGGGGTATAACCATTGCTTTCCAGAAACAAAATGTCTTCGTTGGAAATGATGTAAAAATGTATTTTTGAGTGAAGCATGGAGAATTTCTGAGATGGAGCCTAATTATTTTGGCTCCATTTAGTATTTCTATGTCTTAAAATCCACCTTGGAACGGAAGAGCCTCGGAAGCCTCCCAGGGCAGCTCTCCTCTCCATCCTTCAGCAACACATCCCAACGTCCACCGAGAGTCCCCAAACGGAGGAGACCGCATCACTCTCCAATTTCCACATAAATCAGGACCTTGCCAGTGACAGCACTGCATGCCAGCAGCCTGCTGCAAGCGCTGTGCCGGGCCAGGGTAGCTGGTCTGGACTCGAGAGCAATTTGACAAGTCATCAATTCCAGATGTTGCAGAAAGCTTCAGACCTCTGAGGTCCCATTTAGCCCTGCTTCTGGCAAAGTTCAAGGGGGTGGATGCATATATATCTTATTTTATTGCTCTGCTTTCTTTACAACTAAGGAAGGATTCGCTCTCAAAGCAAAGTACACATTGTTTATGTAGCATGAGATTTCACTGGGCTGGAAGCATGGGATTTTAATCGCATTTCATGAATGTCTTTTGCAGACTCGTTTGCAAGCTGGACAAGGATATGGAAATACACTCAACTGTGTTCTCACTGTGTACAGAAATGAGTCTGTAAGTACTTTATCTTAAAATGTGCTGGTAGAAAATGCAAATAGATAAATAGATAAATACATAAAGTGATTATACAAAATCACTGTTGACATGAGCAGTTATATGAAGATCAATAAAGTTGCAGTTGAGACCACAAATTCCTACAGCCTTCTCTTGCTAAGTCCAAGGTAACTCTCTTGGTTACTCCTCTAGGGAAAAGAGAGATCCCTGGCAAGGAGTGATAAATGACATTGCACATGTCTCCGCATGGGTCAGGGCGCTACATCCACAGTGGCTCTTTTGCCTGTACCTGCTGGCAAAGCTCTACTGCAGGTATTTTGCTGGCTTTGGTGATGCCAGGACAGAAGCTGGCCATAAGAGGGACTTTCACACCGGTTCCGGTGCTTTCAGCATATTCTGTATTCTGCACAATCTTTACAAGTCTTTAGCAGTATGAATTAATTTTCACTTGCTCAGCATGTGCGAACGGTTGGTTCCAGGAGACATCTGGTACTTGGATTTGCATTCCTGGCCTGACAGACAAGTTGGAGTTTACTCTGCTCAGTCCTGTTCATTCTCTTAACTCCTGCTCCCTTCCCCGGGTAGGTGGCCGGCTTCTTCAAAGGCATGTCCTTCCCGCTGGCCAGCATCGCCGTCTACAGCTCCGTGGTGTTTGGCGTCTTCAGCAACACGCAGCGGCTCCTCAGCCAGCTCCGCCACGGAGACCCATCCCGCACGCCGGTGCTTGCTGATGTGGCTCTGGCCAGCGTGGTGACAGGGTTCATCTCCGTGGGCATCGGCACTCCTGTGGACCTGGTAAAGATAAGGCTACAGATGCAAACGCAGCCATACATCAAAGGTAGGAAGCAAGAGTTTCTTTTTCCTTTCTCTGCCAGTTCTCGGTGTTTCCCGCCAGCTTTAGGACAATTTTGCTTCAAGGCCCATCTCTCTGCTGCCTTGTGCCACCACAATTGAGCTACAAATCCTTCTGCCTCAGGATGGACCCCATCCTGCCCAGCTCAAGGGGAGGGTTTTTATCAATGACATTGATCAGATCTCTGCTGGCATTTCCAGCTGATTGGGATCTATGACAAACACAGGGGCAGGTCTGCTCAGGACCAGGACCTGCGGGAGCCACCTTCCCTGCATGGCCATGGGGCAGGGACAGCGAGTCCCTGGGCTGTCAGGTTTCCTGGAGATCCCACCAGCAGCACCACGGCTGCCAGCAGTCATGCCAGCCCCCCATCTCCTTCTGCACCCTCTCAGCCCCACATACATTTGCCCGTAAACCCCGCTCTGTTATTTCACCCTCCTCTGTTCAAAAGCAAAAATTTCACATGTACATTTGAAAACCGCTGGCTCATTCGGGGCACAGTTACAGGTACCCAGGTGCAGGCAAGATGGGTCAGGAGGGGACACTGGCAGGATGGCAGCGGGCAGCTGTAACCTCTCCAGAAGCTGCAGGCAGAAGTAGCTGCTTCTGCTCAATGTGGCAGCTGAATTTCATCGCAGGCTGCCAGAGTGGAGCAAACCCCACTGGAGCACATGCACAGCCAAAGGAAGAGGCGGCACAGCTCCAGAGCTGAACAGCCTGGATTTCAGCAGTTTCACAAGCACCTTTCTCATGTTACAGTTGCAGTGCTTAACTGTGAAACAGTGACTTTTTTTTATTGGTTTGATAACATAATATTATGTCCATTTTTAAAAGCCTGCATGCAGCTTAGCAACCTAATGCCCTTTCAAAAAACAGCTCGGTCCTCTACATCAGAGGGGCCAGGCTCTGAAGATACCAAGGTTTTCAAAGATGCAGCTTGGCACCAGATGTGGTTAAAATCCATCAAAATTGGGCACATAGCCTTAAACTCATTTGGAAATCTCACTGGGCATGTACCTATTAGGAGGCATGAAATGCATCTAAGAAAAATCTGTCCCAAATTATCTAAACATCTTTTAAAAATGGACCTGAGTCCTCTTTCTTAAAATGTTTTTTCCCACACTACATATTGATCCCAGCAAAAGAAAATGGATGGCAGTGATTTTTGTCTGTTCAGTGGTGGTAGGCTTTTGGGAGGAGTTCTGTAGCAATATAGCTATTACAACAGTTGTATCTTTTTTTGCAGCAAACATTGAACTAAAGCCCACAGTTCCTGGATTTCCTGTGTACCGAGGCCCAATTCACTGCTTTAGGACAGTCCTACAGAAAGAAGGGATAGCAGGAATATACCGAGGCGTGGGAGCAATGCTTCTGAGGGATGTTCCCGGGTACTGCCTCTATTTCATCCCTTACACGTTTTTCTGTGGATGGATTACCCCTGACGGATGCATTTCGCCTAATCCTTCCTCCATCTGGCTGGCAGGGGGTGTAGCAGGTAAGCACCTTTTTTCCCCAAAACACTGGCAAAACAAGGACAGCAAGGTTGCCAGGGTGGCTCAGGGGCTGCCACATCCTCCTGGTCACTGGGAGAGGACATGGGGCTGAATGACCTTCCTCCCCCAGGGCCGGGTCCCCTGGCACCACAGCTGCACTTTATGACTTGACAAACTTTATGGAAGTCGTGTTATCAGACCTTCATTGGGCTCAATGCCAGCGAGAAGGAAAACAGCCAGCACCTTCATCTCCCTGGATGTGGATGTCTCACGGCAGCCTGTGTATCACATTGCCAGCGATCCACGGCAGCCAAGATGCCTCCAGAAGAGGACTTCAACCTGCTGGCTGCCCACCAGGAGGGTGTGCACCCTACCTGCATGCAGCAGAAGCAGAGTTGACTGTTATTGACCTTCTTCTTTTTTTCCTGTGTATACCCGCCAGTAAGACTGACACGTGCATCCCCTACCATGCTTAGATGTGTAAGGTCACCCCTACACCCACTCCCCATTTCTTGGCCATTTCTAAACTGCAGACCCCTAAACGCAAGTCCATCCTTAGCTCAGGTAATGATTACAAAATGTCCTCTCCGTTTTTCCTGCAGATAAACAGTGCCCATCTGGACAGCTTTTCTAGTATGCCCTGACACTCACGCAGGTCCAAACAAACTCTTGTCTATCCAACTGGGCCAGGTATTGCGGTCACATGCTGACCTTTTCAGAGAGGCAAAACATCCCACTCAGCTGCAGGCTGATCAATGTAAATAGACAATTTCTTTATAGGAATGATGAAGTATTTCAGCTGCGTGGAGCCTAATCCTGATTGCATGGCACAGACCAGCCTCTTATTTGCATTCTTAGCTCAAACTTTGCTTTTCAACAGTATTATCTGAGGACTCCAGTTTTTCTGAAATTGCCCCAGGGAGCAGCTCCCTGCAGCTCGGGCTCTTCCCACGGCATGTCCGTGCTCCACCAGAAGCACGGCAGAAGATGTATTTGCACCCGGGGGAGGACCTCCTCGGTTGTCTGCGTTTGATTATCAGCATAACCCCCAAAATCTCAATGCTTCTTCCAGAAACAGGAAACTTTGCTTCCAGAAGTACTGTTCCTGTCCTTGAGCAGGGTGAATGCCCTAAAACGAAAATCCCATGAATGTGATGTGGTAGACGAGAGGTGAATTTCTGAGTTCACTGACCTGCGGCCAAGGAAATATAGAGAAGAAATTGTTCAAACACTTCTGCATTTTTCTAGGAGCCATTTCCTGGGGGACTGCTACTCCAATGGATGTTGTGAAAAGTCGACTTCAGGCAGATGGAGTTTATTTAAACAAGTACAAAGGGACCCTTGACTGTATCTTGCAGAGCTACCAGAACGAGGGCTTAAAAGTAAGTGGTATTTGAAGTAAAATGTGGGTATTAGGCATTTAATTTTCAATTGGGAAATACAGTGGCTGTTACAAACCTATCTGCAGGGTTGAGAGACAGCTAAAGCCAGTTACTGCTAAATTATGACTGTAATCATAGTGCAGATTCTTTCTAAATCATAATAGTGAGTGTAATAATGCACCTTACAGCAATGAAAAAATGAATGACTGGGGGTCACAGACTGCTGGTGTAATTAACTTAAAAGAACACTTCGTGTCAGTGCATTTAATTGTGAATATGATTTGATTTATCACAAATCAGAGGTAGAAAATCTTGCCTCTGTGATTGCTTCTACAAAATGCAGAGGTCAAATGTTTCCCATTGACACCGTAGTCACTGGGAACTGATTCCAGTGGAACTGTGCTGGCACCCCAGTTGCATTTGGTTGCCTTGGGCAATGCTTTGGTGGGAATGATACTGTGGTTTGCACTGCCTACCCTCATTTTTCACCAAGACAGAGTAGATTGAAAATGCTCTTAAATCAGAATGGCCTCAGCTTCAAACGTGAAGAAGGGCTGCATGCCAAAAAGAACTTATTTCCTTTTTCTGACTTTGTCTATTAGTGTAATAAAAGTTGTTTGTTTTACCTGCAAACTTTGCCTCAGTTAAATGTGAATGGCAGAGGACCAGGGTTTGCAGCTTTATTGCACTGCCAATGCACGGTTATGAGAAGCAATGTCTTCTGATACTGAAATAAATCTGTATTTAAGTTGTCATCAAAACATCATGTCGGCTCTTAGCTCCGAAGTGTTAATTTTTGCATTCTGAGGGAAAAGTAGTAAGTTACAAAAAGAAAAATAACCTGCAAAGTCACAAGTCAGTGTGATTTAAATATTTGCCAACATGCCAATATGTTATGCCAGCCGTCACAGGAGCCTGCAGTCTGGTTGGTTTTTTGCCGTGGAGTGAAGAAAGTCACAGTCACATGAAGCACAGGCACTTGGAGAGAGGCTACAGACCATGCCTGGACGGTCAGAGGAGGGTCAGGGTGCCCCGGACTCTCTGCAGACCACCTGCCCTGCACATTCAGTTTGGCATACAGCTTCACAGTAAAACATAGGGTGGCTGAAAAGGGAATTTCCATGTGATTTCCCTTCTCCCACCTTCCTCATCCTCACCCCCTACCTTCCATGTCCTACCTGAATACTAACAGCTAATTCAGGCACTTTTAGGTTTTTTTGTTTGAGGTCTGAACTGCTGGTGGTTTTTCTGCTATCATGCCTGGTACCCGGACCAAAGCCAGCAATAGGATTAAGTAACAGTTGATGATAAGACTCGATCCTTCTCTCGTAAGGAAAATCTTTTTATATGTTGGGAGACACAACTGATAAACAGCAAACCCAGCTTTGGATGTTTTCATTCTAGGACAAAGGAACAGTGCTGAAAATAATTGCCTGGTGTACAAAAAAAATGTAAATATAGCCCTCTTCTTTCTCTTCTTCCTTTCATAGTCAGGTGTGTTCATTCTGATGAGAAAAATTTATGCCTCTTAGGCTTTTCTTCATAAATCTTAACTTGCCTCTCTTGTGTTTCTTTATGGATACTGCAAAAATTTGAATTTTCTCCCAGAAAATTCTATCTTTCCTAGCAAAATAAACCACCCCAATAAATCAAATAATATCCTAAATATCCCAATATTGCAATTTCACATTGCAAACTCTATCCTAAACAATAGGCAGATATTTTTATTCTGTCTCATACGAGTCAGCACCATGAACTGGTTTTTATTAGGTATAACATATAGTCATGTTTAGCAGAGCTCAGTATTTCAGGGAAAATACCAGTTAGACACTTATGTCTATTGTGAACTTCTGGTGTTTAGATTAGTGACTACAGTGATTAGCCTGGGTGGTTAACGGAGTGATTTTGAGAGAAACAGGCCAGCAGAGATACTCCCTGCAATCATCATTTTGTAAATAGGCTCACCCTAGAGCCAGTGGTTTGTGTGCACCCTTGCACATATCAGGCAGTAGTGTCTGTACCGAGGTGGGTTTTCAAAGGGAGACAAGCCAATGCCAGGAGCGACAAGGGCCCCTTCTCCACTTTCCAAAAAGCACTTTACTGTTCAAGCACTTAAAAGCCGCAGGGTCTTTCACTCCTGTAAGTGCCAGCATCTTTTCAAAAATATATATATTGAGCAGAATGGGGAAGTCTGACTATATAAATTCATATTTATTATCTTAATGAAAGAAAACTCTGGGATATGTATGAACACCAAAGCTTGACCTTAGGAACCCACATGTGAAAATATCAGCCTCTATCGAGTATTTTTTCCAAAGTCGGTGGTGAGAGCTAGTTCTCAGCAAGGTACAGAGTAAGTCTAGTTTTCTGCTGATTGAGAAATTGTTTCTATGCTCAAAGGTGAAACCTGCAAAATAGTCCGCGTGGCACAGTGCCCGTGTCGGCCAGGCTGGCTCGCAGCCACACCGCTCCGTCTCCACTTCCCAAACGTGTTCTGCACCCATAGACCCAGCCCTGGGAGTCAGAGCATTTGCTGCATGAAAACAACAGCTTTTTTGTTGTACCCTGGGGTTTGCATGATCCTTGTACCCAAAGGGAAGGAGGACTTGTAGCTAGGTAGGACAACACTGGAAGATGTTTTAGATTTCTTGCTTTCTGCTCTACACCAGTGGCATGAGGCCATTTTTTACCCTTTACCTCCTGTAGCTCTTGCTGGCAGATGCAGATGTGGGTCCACAGGGAGCATGGAGCACAATGATACCACACCAGTGACTTTTGCCATTGCGTTTCTGTTCTCCAGTGCAGGCTTCAGCAAAGACCAGCAGTGAGAGCGATCTCCTGAGCAAACCACGATTTGGTTCTTCAGAATCCCCCCATGACTTCATTCAATACTTTCTTCTTCTTCTTAAAATAGCCAGTATATTCCTATGCTCTAACCTTTCTCCATCCCCAACAGGTCTTTTTTAGGGGCATCACGGTCAATGCAGTGCGAGGATTCCCAATGAGTTCAGCCATGTTTCTTGGCTATGAACTTTCCCTCAAAGCAATGAAAAGAGACCAAACTGAGACCAATCCTTAACTTCCAGGTCAGCGCATAAAGACCCTCCAGCTTTATTAAAATTAGAGAATTAATCTTTGAATCAAATGGAATTGCAATTGTATAGATCCTCTGAAAGTCAGATAACTTACATGGCTACCTACATCTGAATAGTCAAACACTTTTCAAATTGGGGTCTGTGGGATTTGGAGCAGACAATAGATGTGCTGATGGAGTTTGGTTTCATTCCAGATCTCCTGGAATTTCACTACTATCCAGTCTGATTGTTGTGATTGTTTTGACGAGTGTGAATCAGAAAGGAAAATCTGAAAGGAGAATATTCTCTAACATTTTATAAGTTTTGAAATATCATTCTCACTAAAGTCCCTGCACAATATCCTTTCCTCCTTTGATCCATCCACACAGACCTGAAATTAAGCCCTTTCAAAGTGTCTTGACTATCAGCTCACAGTTTTACTATTTCCCTCATAAACCTAGGGTGGACTACAGGCTCAGCATTCACAATTTTCCCTCATAAACCTAGGGTTGCATAAAGGAGCAGCATTAAAAATATCTTATTACAGAAGCTTTTTTAGCAGTTAAATAGTCAAGATTATTCTTGGCAGTCTGCTGTTTTCTGCAGTACATTATAAACCTCCTTCTTTCTTATTTCAAAAGTGTTGCCAAGAAGACCCGAAAGTCTCCTACTTTCCTGAGCCAAATCAGCAGCGTGGTGTTGGTGAGGGCTCAGCTGCTCTGACCGAAGACTCCCGTCCTGAACCTATGGCATCTGCTTTCTCTTCTGCCACAGACTTAGTCTCTGGAAGACTCCGAAAACTGCACCAGCTCAATCAAAGCCAAAGACCATTTTCTTATCAAATCTCTCACTCTGTTGTCTAAGAGCACCTTAATAATTCCTATGGTGGTGTCGGGCTTTTTCACTGATGATGTTTTTCCCATTGACATTTTTCCCATTGAGCCGAAAGAACAACTTACTTCCCTTACCCACTCAAGTGAGATATACCCAACACCAGCCCACCAGACATCAGCTGTGGGAGCGTCTTTTGTACAACGCTGCATATAATGCTCGTCTTCTTTGTGAACAAGGAAAGGGAGAGGTGTGATGGGTGTGCAGGTGCTTTTCATATAGGAAGGTCTGGATTCCCACCAAAATATAGCTTGCTTTCAGGATCAAAGAAATGGATGACTCCCCCTGTATGAATGAATACTCTCCAGTTTGCCACCATTCGGGCAAGATTATCATGAAAAGATGTGAAGGGCTTCAACAACTTCAGTTTGTTATCCAAGATATAAATTAAATTGGGCAGCAGGAGGATGTTAAATTCAGCGACTAAGCTGCTCTTTTTCTTCAGAAAACAATAAAACAAATCTGCATTTCATATAGATGGCTGCCTATTAATTCACCTAACTTGCCTTGTGTAGCCCTCCAGGGACCTGCTAGAGGTATCTCGTTAGATCACCTGATTTTGCTGACGTGACAGACCAGCTTGCCAACTGCCAAATCCTGCAGACATCACTTTGCAGCCTTGAGAGACCACCAGCAAAAGAAGTCTTTTTAAAGGATGCGGAGTTTATCCCAAACTACTCTCTAAAATACATAGGCCAGCTTCAGACCTCCAGCTCTTTGCTGTAATCCCACTGAGACAACTGGGGCAGGCCCAGGTCTCTCTTTGGTCTGCCTCAGCCTTTCAATTATTCCAAGATCTTTTATATCATGATTATTTCTGTTTATGCTGTTAAGTATCTCCATGCTTGATTTTCTAAGCATGGAGCTTCTGATGCCAAAACCCAAGAAGAACCAGCTCTGTTGGGACGAGAGCAATCTGCTGGCATTGGCAGGAGAGGCTGAGGGGTAACAGCCTCACATGCAGAGGGACCTGCAGCATGGGGGAACAGTCTGGGATAACACCGTCCTCTGGGAAATGTACGGTTCCCCCCCATCTTCCTCTGGAGAAGAAGAGCTCTAGGGAAATAGCCCAGCAATGGCAGTTTTAGCACATGCCCTCAATAAAGGTTTCTGAAGACAACCTGGAGCAACCGTCCAGCTGTTCTCCAGAAAAGCAGGAGAAGGAAAGAGAAACTCCTGCGTCCTCTTCCCTGGATGAATGGAGGAATTGGCGACAACACTTGAAGACTTCAGCAGAAAGTGCCTAAAAACTCTGGTCTGGAGCAGTACTCAGAAATGGGGTCCCCAACCTTAGGCTCCATTTCACTGGGGCCTAAATTAAAAACAGAAGTATGGCTTCCCCCAAAACTGGCCTTAAAAAGTGGGAGAAACAGCTGGTGTTGCTTCATCTCAGGACTTGCAGGTGAGAAGGCTCACAGTACCTTTGAGCTTGGCAAGAACACAGGGAACTCTTTAGTAAACAATATCGATAAAATTGATGAGCCTTCACAGAAGTATTTGTTGCTGGCTGCATTTAAGGATTCATCCTTTCCATGTCACCTATTTTAATACATATACATACAACATGTCCTTTGGATGCATAATATCATATGTCTCCAGGGATAATACTCGGGGACGCTAGTTTTTCAGTGCAAATAAATGGTGTAGCTTATCTGCTTGCATTATGTAAAATGGACCATGAATTAATTAAACTGGTGAGGTTTGCAACAAGCTGTGTATCTGAATGATCCTGCCCTCATGGTGCACAGGTTTGGTATGTTCAGTGCCCCCCTGGGCATAAAGCCCTAAGACCCACGTTGGAGTTGCATGGTGATTTTTCCTGATATTCTTCATTCAATTAAACCAGTTTTGAGATGGATGGCCAGGATTTACTTGGGCAAAACTCTTGTGTGACACACACCTGCCAGAAGGAGCTGTCAGGGAGAGCTGTGGAATACCCAGTGTAGAGAGGGAGCAGAGGGCAGAAAGCTTTTAATATAAAAACATGAAACAAGTGGAAAGTGAATAAAAAGCTTTGGCCACATGATGGCATCCTCGTCCGTGGTAGGGCACAGCCGTGTGTGGGTTTCTGTGGGGGGGCCCCACCA